TTTCATCCATGGTACCAAAAGGGAAAAAGGAAAAAGCCTGTTAAAAAACATTGTAAGAAGCTGGGCTCCAGTGGCTTATGCTTATAATTCTAGCTACTCAGGAGGCTGAGATCTGAGGATCATGGTTCAAAGCCAGCCAGGGCAGGAAAGTCCATGAGACTCTTTTATCTCCAGCTAACCACCAGAAAACCAGAAGTGGCTTTGTGGCTCAAAGCACTAGCCTTGAGCAAAAAAGCTCAGGGATGGTTGGTGCCCAGGCCCTGAGTTCAAGCCCCATGATCCACAAAAAAATAAATAAATTGTACTGGAAGTGAAACCCAGTGGTAGAGCATTTGCCAACCATGTACAAGGATCTAAGATTGATCCTCAGCACCGAAAATAAGTTATGAATCAGGGTTCTTTTTCTTGGTCCTAGACTTCATTTAAATTTTATGATAGTCTTGTGAGTGGATATGATTATTTTCAATTCACAGATAAACTGTCTTGCATCAACTTCTACATCTGGCCGCTTCTAAGTCCTGGGACTGGAGGGCAAATCCTAGAACACTTGGAAAATGTGCTCTCTGGCTACATCTCTAGATCTAGGATGCTGCCAGCAACATTCTTGGAGTTTTTGCCCATGTGATATCATCCCTTCCTTAGCTGTGGAGGTTGGGGGTAGGTTGAGGAATGCTCTGCTTTTTGTTTTGATGGTTACACTCTCATCCTACCAGCTCAGGAAAAAAAAAAAGGAATGGCTAGAGACTTGACTGAAAAGTTACTGAAGCATCTTTCTCCCTTTAGCACAAGCCCCATATGCAGATGCCATGAATGGCTTCTCTCCCTTCCAAGGCAATTTCTCCTCCCTTCGAGTCTATTTCCACCTTCCGCAGACCAGATTAAAGGTAGAAAGACATATGTATATTACACTAAGGAAACTGTCTTGATTGGGACTGTGAAAATGTAGTTAACAGATGTGCTCTTTTCTCATCTATGTTCTGCTGAGAGATCAGAAATTTGCTTCTGATGGTCCAAAGATAGTTTTCAAGTGCTCATGCATGCCCTTTGCCCTATCATCAAACAAAGCTTCTCTTTTTTGCCAGGATATTGTCTTGCCCTGAATGGCTGTCAGCTCATCAGGTTCTCCTTTACCTGTTGCTTCTTTCCTGTCTTCACATTGGCAACCTCTTGGCTCCCTTCTCTTTAATGCTTTTAGCCCCCCTTGCTAGGTCTCTCTTTACTTGCCCTTCCTTACAACCACCCCTGTGAAAGCACTGCCCACTTGCTTTTTATCTCCACTTCTTTCACTCTTCCCCCTGGAGGATCCTTTAAACCATTCTGGCTCAACTCCCTCTCTCTAGCCTGCCTCTGGCACTATGCTTCTGTGGAAGTCCTCAGTTCTGCCAAGTACCCCAGACCTGGCTGCCTCTGCCCTGTTCCCACCATCTTCTTGATCACTCTTCTTGAGAGCTGGGATCACATTTTCTGCCTCTTTTCTCCATTTTCTCAACTCTTCTGGTCTGGCGCCATGATTCTTTTCTACCTTTCACAAATGTCTTATTTATATGCTAGTCTCTTTTTAAAATAAAGGTATACATTTTAAGTGCTATTACAATAAAAATGACTAAATAATTCTGCCTCTATCATAGAAAATATTATTTATCAAAATGAACTCCAGGAAACAATGGAAAAAGAGGGTTTTTTCCCTTTGTTTTTCTTTTATTTTTGTCTTGTTTATCTGTCTTTCAGAGGGTGAGGGGAGCACAGGAATGCAGGGATAAAGGATAAACAAATGCAGCAGCGATGAAATGCAGTGTGTTGAAAATGAACTATACAACTTGTGGGTGGGGACAGGAGGGAAAAAACTGGAAGAGAGCAAGGGAAGAAGTGACATTGTCCAAAAATAAATGTACTCATAGATGGGAATCTGTTTTGTTCTCATTGAAGGATTTTCCTCACCCTTCTGAGCCTGATCTTTTTTATGTATCTACACCTAGATGGAATATGAAGGACTGTCCCCCGCCTTATTCCTCCAGGTCAAGCAAAGCACCAGGTGCATGCTCATGTGCTTGTCCACAAGCAGGTCACTTTGACCTTGGCTTGGCTGAAAACCCCCTCACCCCAAGTGAAGTATTCCATTCTAGGTCTGGCCAAGGACACCGCCCTTGCCCCCCAAGAGACCATAGCCTATTTTTTATTTTCTGCTTCCTTGTTAAGACCCATATAAACCCAGCCCTGAAAACCAGTCCCTTGTACAACCTCCATACCCAGGGAAGGTCTGTGCCCCTTGCGAGTAATAGCCTGTTGAGAATAAAGTCTGGTCTATTACTTTTCTGTTCTCTTCCTGACTTATGAAACTGTAACCATTCTGTATATCACCTTTACAATGATAAAAATATTAAAACAAAATAAATGGGAAAAAGGTGCCACTACAATAAAAATGATTAAGTACATAATAAACAGTACAAAGGGTACACATTTCTTTCTTTTTGTTGTTGGTTGTGGGGCTTGAACTCAGGGCCTGGGTACTATCCCTTTGCCGCTTTGTGCTCAAGGCAAGCACTCTTCCACTTGAGCCATAGTGCCATTTCTGGTTTTTGAATAGTTAATTGGAGATAAGAGTCTCACAGGGACTTCTGCTTGGGCTGGCTTTGAACCACAATTCTCAGATCTCAGCCTCCTGAGTAGGATTACAGGCATGAACCACTGGCACTTGGCTTTTAAAAAAAAAAACAAAAACAAAAAACAAAAAAAAAAAACAAGGTTTCATTATATAGGTCAAGCTGGCCTTAAACTTGGAATTCTCCTGGTGACTGAGTCCTAGGATTACAGCCATGGCCCACCATGTCTGGCTACTCATATAGTCTTTGATTCTCTCTGTGTGTGTATGCTGATTCTGGGGCTTGAGCTCAGGGCCAGGGTGCTGTCCATGAGATATTTTTGCTCAAAGCTAGCAGTTTACCACTTGAGTTAGAGCTTCACTTGTGGCTTTTTGATAATTAATTAGAGATGAGTCTCGTGGACCTTCCTGGCTTTGAACCATGATCCTCAGATCTCAGCCTCCTGAGTTGCTAGGATCATAAGCATGAGCCACAGGTGCCCAGCTTACTCAGATATTCTTGATCTCCTAGGATCATGACTCAATCAGCCTCGTACCAAAGAGGATCACTAGAAGTTGGTTATAAAAGAATTCCATGATTTAAGGTCCTATTGTTTGTGAGGGAAAGACAACATATATGAAATCTTCAGAGTGGTGCAGATATGTTAGTAGAAAAGCAAATAACCAAGGAATTGTAGCCTTTACAACTTGCAGAGGGCAAGATTAGCTGATAAACTAAAACCTGTCTAACAACAAAATGGGGGCAGAGGGCTACAAAAGAATGAGGCAGTAAGAAGGACAAAAGAATGAGGAAATAAGGACTGGGCACTAAATCTCTGATGACATGACAATGTAGGAAAGAGGAAAGAAACCCACCCATCAGAAAGCCATCTTCAAGAACTCTACTTTTCCCTCTTAAGGCCAGTCTATATGGAAGACAGGCACAAGATGGCGGAGATAGGCTCAAGTTCTGTCTTCCCATAGCATATTTAAGTTATGTTCTCTTTCTCTGCTATTTTGTGTGTGTGTGTGTGTGTGTGTTGGTCTGAGGCTTATAATTTAATAAATTATGAGATATTCAACATGTTACTATATAACTTAGGGCCTGAGTGCTGTCCCTGAGCTTTTTTGCTTACGGCTGGTGCCCTACCACATTTCCACTTCCAGCTTTTGGGTGGTTAGAGGTAAGAGTCTGATAGACTTATCAGCCTAGGCTGGTTTCAAATGGTGATCCTCACATCTCAGCCTCCCAAGTAGATATGATTACTGTGAGTCACTGGTGCCCAGTTCTCTGTTATATTTCTTTTCAAATAAACTTTCCTACTGCCTTGATGTTTGACTCTTGCCTTAATTCTTTTCTTTTTTTTTAATCTTATGCAAGTATGGAGGTCAGCTGAGCTGCCTTAAATTTCTGATAACATATTTGTTGATTTAGCCAGAAAGTTAGGGATTAAATATGTCTTTTGACTTGGACTCATGGAGTGGTAACGTAGGAAGTGAAGAGTGAATTCGAGATAAATTCATCAAATAAGTAAAAGGCTAAGTAGCGACTCTGAAACTGGGATCTCCATGAAATGTTTGTCGTCTCATTTGTTTACATTTTCATGGTCTGTTTGGAGAATCTCAAACACATATGTAGATTATAGCAAGCAAGATGAGGAAGTTGGACACAAATTGTGTTTTCTTTCTTTTGTCTTTTCTGGGGATGGAACCAGGCCTCCCTCGCGTTAGGCAGTCAATCTTACCACTAAAACATATCACATTCCAGAAAATCAAATACTGGAAGAAGAAGAAAAAAAAGTATTGCAAGTTGGATTTGCAAGCGTGCTCCAGGCGTGGCTCCCAGGCTTTCTCCCCAGGAGAGGTTTCCTGAGAAATCAGTCATTTCTGGGGAAACAGACCTTCGCCTCCTCCGAAGGTTCTGGGCCTGGCTGCAGCTCCTCCCTTCCGCCTCTGGCAGTTGAAATTCAAGTCTATAAATTCTCAGTCCACGGTTCAAAGTGGGAACAAGTTGACGCCGAACAAGCACTACCAGCCCAGCCTTCGTAGGTACCGCTCGAAGTAAGTCCCTGAGCCCAGCGGGGTCTGCCTCAGACGACCATTAGGCAGCGGCGCACACGAGCCCCGCACGGCACGTGCTGAGCAGAGTCCCACCGGGCACAGGCTCTTTCTTCCCAGGCATCCGAATTGGCGGCTGGCAGGCGAGGGCTGGGAGGAGGATGGGCTGGAGTCTCGGAGCTGCGACCCAACCCGAGGGGGGCGGTGCCTGCGGGGCAGCCGGAGCCAGAGCGCTCCCGGCAGTGGCTCCAGAGATAGCGGCGTGGGCGGGGACTGTGCTGTGACACCGCCCTTGCCCCGCCCCTCTCCCCGCCCCACCCCATGCGCGTTGCCAGGGAAATCAGGTGATTCCGAGCTCCGGGCGCTTGCGGTTGCCGTGACGTCAGGCGCGCGGCGGTCTTCACTCGCTCGCGGCGGCTCCTCACTCGCTTGTGGCAGGTGCGGCGCGTTTCGTACAGTGCGGTTGGGTCTTCTCGGGCCGGAGTCGAGCAGTACCTAGTCTGTTTGTGTGGGAAAAGAGGTGAGGGGGCTCCGTCAGGCGGGGGGCAGGGGAGGCGTGGAGGGGTCGGGCTGCGCGAAGGGCGCTGGGAGAGCCGGCGGGACTGGGACCGGGCCGGGCTGTGGCGGGGAGCGCGCGGCGGCGGCGGCGGCGGCGGCGGCGGCGGGGAAGCGGCTGTGCCCCGCGGCTCTGCTAGGACGCCCCTCGCGCTCCCTTCGCCGTCTGCCCGCTGAAGGGCTTCAGGTTTCTGCGGCCGCGCTCGCGGCTTGGAGCCGAGCTCGTCTCGCCTTGTCTCAGGGGACGTCCGTCCTCCCAAGCTTCTGGATGTCTCTGCCTGGGGCTGCGATTTCTGAGGCACCGCTCTGCTTGCCCTCCTGAGCCTTCTGGAAGCGGGGTGTGGGCGGGTGGGGAGCCCCCACTGGGCTCGCAGGGGGCGAGGTGGACTGGGTGGGAAGTGTGGAGCGCTGAGCCGGGTGCTGGGTTTGGCCGGGCTTTGAGGGGTGTTGCTGGGGATCCGACGGAGGGGGGCGGGTTGTGAGGAAGGGATCCCACGGTGGCGAGAGGGCAGAGGGTGGGAAACTGAGTAGACATGTTGAGGTTAGCTCTGAGAGGGGTCTTGAGGGATGAGGGCTGGAAGGGAAAAGAGGATAGATTGGGGCTGTTGGAACCCTGTGATTGGGGATACACTGAAAAGTTGATGTGACAAATAAAAAAAAAAGGAAATAACACTCGAACTCTTCTCTAATGGGATTCTTCCAATTTTGTTTATGAAAAATTTTAAACGGACTCGGTGCGGACACAGCCAGCTAGTTGCTGGTATAACACCCCAGCCATTGCTAACAGATTGGTTTTTAAAATTTTTTTGTTTGTTTTGAGAAAGGACACACCCTTCAGCAGCTTATTTTCTTATACCTCATTTGAGTGGATTAAATGACAGAGCTGACCGTACCTCAATATGCAGGGAGACTAATATCCACCATCTCCCCCTTCAGGGGTTTCAAATGTCTTACAAATACACCTCTTCTGCCTAGGGTGGAATTGAAACCCCCACCACCTGGTAGATTTAATGGGAAAGGAGTTATTAAAGAGAATTAGTGGGGCTGGGAAGGTAGCTCAGTGGTAGAGTGCTTGCCTTGCATGCATGAGGCCCTGGGTTCGATTCCTCAGCACCACATAAGCAGAAAAAGCCGGAAGTGGTGCTGTGTTTCAAGCGCTAGAGCGCTAGCTTTGAGCTGAAGAGCTGAGGGACAGTGCCCAGGCCCAGAGTTCAGGCCCCACAACCATTAAAAAAAAAGAGAGAGAGAATTAGTACCCCAGACACAATTTTGGGAGACTTGGTAAACTAACCAAGTCTGCTTGCTTTGCTCAGTTTGTGGGCTTCTCAGTGTAAGACTCCCTGAATTTTAATAGGCTTAAGAGGCAGGCAAAATATATTTTTGTTATATAAGGAGGAATGATTTTGTGGCTTTAATTTTTCCCAGCCCAAAAGTATGTTGATACTATGATAAAAGATACATACAGTTATACATTTTTATATTGAAACATTAAAAACTTACTGGGAGGAAGTGAAATGACTGAATTTTCTCAGTAACTTGCATAGTATTTGTTTGACTCCAAGAAACAAAATTGGACCTCCAGGGATCCTGTACAGGAAAAGGCAGTTTGGGGAATTGCTAAGAACTTCAGAAGGTGGCCACAGCTGGTCTGTATGTAAATATAGAATCCAGCACTGGGAGGGCAAATTTAGATTGGTGGGAATTCAAGAAAAATGAACTTCCAGTGAAATCATTCTTTGTGAAAGAAGTCCCAGGATAGATGATTACCAAAACAAAGCAAAAAATCAAAACGTGTAAAAGGCCACAGTAGTTTTTAAGGAGCCTTGACCTTGTAAGAGTTGTTGGAAATTAGGTGTCTTGACTGCATTAAAATTTTTTTGGCTAGAGGTAATGATATACTCTTGTAATCCCAGTACTCCAGAGTTCACAAGTTTGAGGGTAGTCTGAGCTATTTAGGAAGTTCAGAATAGTCTGGGCTATGAGACTTGGTCTTTAATTACATATATATCCTACTTTCTGAATCTCTTTGATCATACTATAAGTGGGCAACTAATTATCTTCCTATAGAAAGAAACAATCCACCTCCTCCCTCCCCCAGACACAATAACTATGTGTTGTCAGGACAGTTAAATAGTCCAAGAGGGGTTGTTTTGTGTGTTTTCCTTTTCATTCACTGGTGCCACTTCCACAAGTTTTACCATTGGTAGAGAACTTCAGGTTTCATTGTCAGGAGAAACATTATTTCCCTAAACACAAGCTACCATCCATACACACTAGCACTGACTTTCAACAGAAATGGTTTTTCTCGGGGGGGGGGGGTAATTGGCCAAGGTGAGAGACACAGGATATCTAGGAATTTCACCTGTGTCACCTGGGTTGGCCACTCCTTTCCTGGCATGGAACCTAGTAGTTGATCTTGAACCTAGTAGTGATCAGGTACCCAGGAAAATTAATTAAAGGCTATATGAGATTTGAGCCCCTCGAAGCAGAATATTTTATTTTTTGGATAGTAAATCTTGTAGTAAGAAAGAAAAAGGTTCTGGGTGCGTCACTGGCGCACACCTGTAATCCTAGCTACTCAGGAGGCTAAGATCTGAGGATCACGGTTCGAAGCCAGCCCAGGCAGAAAAGTATGTGAAACTCAATAAACTACTCAGAAAAAGCTGGAAGTGGTGCTTTAGCTTAAGGAGAAGAGTGCTAGCCTTGGGCTCAAAGAGGCTCAGGGACAGTGCCCAGGCCCTGAGTTCAAGCCCCAGGACTGGAAAAAAAGAAAAAGAAAAAGGTAAAAGTTACAAACTTTTGTAATAATCTCCTTCAAACTCTAAGGTTTTTTAGTCTACCCTGTGGAATCTATAGATTGGATTACCAATCAGTCTATAATCAAGATCTGGAGGTCCATGGTTTTGTGCCTGTTTGTATTTCATACATCAGTAAACATGGGTTGTTCATTACCTTTTAATCTGTAACAGTCTTGGTTCTTTTCCAGTGCATGCAGTAAACTAGTAACACTATAGGCTCTGGGTCTGGCAGCTTTCCATCCAACATCCTTTTAACAGCTAGATTACAGGAAATTGTCTCAGCCCAGAAAGGTATTAATGGTTACTAAATTAGGTGAGAAGTGAAAGAGTAATCAAATTGTCTCAGCCCAGAAAGGTATTAATGGTTACTAAATTAGGTGAGAAGTGAAAGAGTAATCTTTTTAACATTTCCCTATCCTATGTTTGATGGGCCACGGCCTTGCTATGTTTATTTAGATTTATGTGCTTGCTAATATGGACTCTCCAGGTACTCTGGAACTATGACATCCAGCTCTTAAACTTCTGATGTTGTTGACCAGATGAAACTTTCTCACCTGAGGAAAATTTAGACCGAAGAGACTTCTTGTTTTCCTTAAGCTGAGCTGAGTGTTGTGCTCTTGGGGGTTGGCCCAGGCCACTAATTGGCTTGACTATAAAGTAGGAGTCAGCAATTAAAAGCAGCTATATGGTAGCAAGGTAAATAGGACCTAAGTTGACCGTCCAGTCCTACATCCAAAAAGGTTCACAACACTTCAAGCACTAAATACAGAGAGTTCTTTAAAAAGAAGTGACCTTGAAGCTGGGCACTGATAGCTCATGTCAATAATCCTAGCTACTCTGGAAGCTGAAATCTGAAAATTACAGTTCGAAACTAGCATGGGCAGGAAACTTCATGAGACTCTTACCTCCAGTTAATCATCAAAAAAGCCAGAAGTAGAGCTGTGGCTCAAGTGGTAAGAGTGCTAGCCTGGGCAAAAAGACCTCAGAGACAGCACCCAGGCCCTGAGTTGAAGCTCCAGGACTGGCACTAAAATAAATAAAATGACCTTGGAACAATGTACTTATAGTCTTCAGGAGACACATGTGAAATAGTACTATAATGGTCTCTGATTTACAGTGATTCAACTTACAATTTTTCTACTTTACAGTGGTGCAAAAGTTTACCCATATAATCTTGGACTTCCAATTCTACTTCCTCCTGAGTGCTGGGATTATATGCATGCACCACATGCACCACTTCACTCAGCTCATTGTTTTCTTTCTTTAATTTTTTTATTATGGTAGTTAATAAATTATAAGAGATACTCAACATGTTACTATGCAATATACCTTATTTAGATATTTTGCCTAAATGCAGGCTAAAGTAAACTGGGCACATTTAAAGAAGGCTAGTCTAAGCTATGGTATTCAGAATATTAACTGCATTTTTCATAATATTTTAACCTATAGTGGCTTTATTAGGATGTAACCCCATCAAAAATTTGTGCACATCTGTGTACTGACTTAGGCCTCAAAGTTAGCTGTGTGCAACTGGATTGTTTGAATCCAGCCTTTATGGGCAGCAAGGCTGTGTATGACTGTCATAAACAAAGGATGATTTATATTTTTCTGAACTCTTAATTATATGGCCTCAGAGAGTGTTGGTAGTCATAGGAGGAGGAGGGTTTCTCTATCTGAATTTACTCATTATGGAGTTAAAATGCCTTATTCAGAGGTGCCTATCATTTATGCTAAAGAATAGCCAGTCCTAAGAGCACTGGCCCAGAAAACACATCATGCCTAGAAACTAGACATTTTCTGTTCAAAGAAAGATAGGAAGCAGCTAGGTCCTGAGTTCAAACAAAAAACAATCTAGCTGTGTGCTGTGGCTCAAAACCCTATAATTGTAGCTATGCTACTCAGGAGGTGGAGATCAAATGGTTCAAGATTAGCCTTGGCAAAAGTTAGCAACACCCCACCTCAGTAAACTCTCTGTAGTATTGTATATCAGCTCTATAGGCAGCCATAAGTATAAAGATCTCAGTCTGAGCTTGAGATAGTACCTGAAAATTAAGCAAAAAAAGCCGGCAGAGGGTGGAGGATGGGGGAGGCGGGGAGGAAAGGAGGGTAGCAAGAATGGTTTGAGTAAAGAGCTTGCCTAACAAGCTCAAGGCTTGGTACTTTCTGG